TGGCATGATTGTTGGTGCCAGAAGGGCTGGTCTGAGTATTTCAGAAACTGCTAATCTACTGGGATTTTCACGCACAACCATCTCTAGGGTTTACAGAGAATGGTCCGAAAAAGAAAAAACATCCAGTGAGCGGCAGTTCTGTGGGCGGAAATGCCTTGTTGATGCCAGAGGTCAGAGGAGAATGGCCAGACTGGTTCGAGCTGATAGAAGGGCAACAGTGACTGAAATAACCACTCGTTACAACCGAGGTATGCAGCAAAGCATTTGTGAAGCCACAACACGCACAACCTTGAGGCGGATGGGCTACAACAGCAGAAGACTCCACCGGGTACCACTCATCTCCACTACAAATAGGAAAAAGAGGCTACAATTTGCAAGAGCTCACCAAAATTGAACAGTTGAAGACTGGAAAAATGTTGCCTGGTCTGATGAGTCTCGATTTCTGTTGAGACATTCAGATGTTAGAGTCAGAATTTGGCGTAAACAGAATGAGAACATGGAACCATCATGCCTTGTTACCACTGTGCAGGCTGGTGGTTGTGGTGTAATGGTGTGGGGGATGTTTTCCTGGCACACTTTAGGCCCCTTAGTGCCAATTGGGCATCGTTTAAATGCCACGGCCTACCTGAGCATTGTTTCTGACCATGTCCATCCCTTTATGGCCACCATGTACCCATCCTCTGATGGCTACTTCCACCATGTCACAAAGCTCTAATCATTTCAAATTGGTTTCTTGAACATGACAATGAGTTCACTGTACTAAAATGGCCTCCACAGTCACCAGATCTCAACCCAATTGAGCATCTTTGGGATGTGGTGGAACAGGAGATTCGCATCATGGATGTGCAGCCGACAAATCTGCGGCAACTGTGTGATGCCATCATGTCAATATGGACCAAACTCCCTGAGGAATGCTTCCAGCACCTTGTTGAATCTATGCCACGAAGAATTGAGGCAGTTCTGAAGGCAAAAGGGGGTCCAACCCGTTACTAGCATGGGGTACCTAATAAAGTGGGCGGTGAGTGTATAATTACAGTTTTGCATAATAAATGTTCTCAAAACTATGTACGTTTCTTTAAAAAAAAAAACATTTAGCAGTTTGGCTTTCCTTATGGTCTATCTAACCTGTTCTGAAATGGTTCTCTTATAATTTATACACTCACCGGCCACTTTATTAGGTACCCCATGCTAGTAACGGGTTGGACCCCCTTTTGCCTTCAGAACTGCCTCAATTCTTCGTGGCATAGATTCAACAAGGTGCTGGAAGCATTCCTCAGGGACTTTGGTCCATATTGACATGATGGCATCACACAGTTGCCGCAGATTTGTCGGCTGCACATCCATGATGCGAATCTCCCGTTCCACCACATCCCAAAGATGCTCTATTGGGTTGAGATCTGGTGACTGTGGAGGCCATTTTAGTACAGTGAACTCATTGTCATGTTCAAGAAACCAATTTGAAATGATTAGAGCTTTGTGACATGGTGGAAGTAGCCATCAGAGGATGGGTACATGGTGGCCATAAAGGGATGGACATGGTCAGAAACAATGCTCAGGTAGGCCGTGGCATTTAAACGATGCCCAATTGGCACTAAGGGGCCTAAAGTGTGCCAGGAAAACATCCCCCACACCATTACACCACCACCACCAGCCTGCACAGTGGTAACAAGGCATGATGGTTCCATGTTCTCATTCTGTTTACGCGAAATTCTGACTCTAACATCTGAATGTCTCAACAGAAATCGAGACTCATCAGACCAGGCAACATTTTTCCAGTCTTCAACTGTTCAATTTTGGTGAGCTCTTGCAAATTGTAGCCTCTTTTTCCTATTTGTAGTGGAGATGAGTGGTACCCGGTGGAGTCTTCTGCTGTTGTAGCCCATCCGCCTCAAGGTTGTGCGTGTTGTGGCTTCACAAATGCTTTGCTGCATACCTCGGTTGTAACGAGTGGTTATTTCAGTCACTGTTGCCCTTCTATCAGCTCGAACCAGTCTGGCCATTCTCCTCTGACCTCTGGCATCAACAAGGCATTTCCGCCCACAGAACTGCCGCTCACTGGATGTTTTTTCTTTTTCGGACCATTCTCTGTAAACCCTAGAGATGGTTGTGCGTGAAAATCCCAGTAGATTAGCAGTTTCTGAAATACTCAGACCAGCCCTTCTGGCACCAACAATCATGCCACGTTCAAAGTCACTCAAATCAACTTTCTTCCCCATACTGATGCTCGGTTTGAACTGCAGGAGATTGTCTTGACCATGTCTACATGCCTAAATGCACTGAGTTGCCGCCATGTGATTGGCTGCTTAGAAATTAAGTGTTAACGAGCAGTTGGACAGGTGTACCTAATAAAGTGGCCGGTGAGTGTATATCGTGATATATATCGTTATCGCAAGAGGTTGGTATTCCTGTGTTAAGTAGGAGTCCTTCGTCCATGCTAGTCTCACGACAGGGAGCTCAGACTTACGCAGGGCACTGGAAGACAGCCGACTGGCGTGATTAGACTGGGAACCCCATTTCGTTGTCACAACGTAACTCGTAGTGACTACGAAAGGGAACGTCTCGGTTATGGATGTAACCCTCGTTCCCTGAGTAGGGAACGGAGACGTTACGTCTCCCTGCCCCTTTCGCTGTACCGCTGGAACAGCCTGAGTTCAGTCTTGGCTCCTCAGTAAGTAACATAACTGCATGTTGCCAGCGTACTTCCTTATATACCCACGAGGTGGGGCGGAGTTACGCTATGCAAAATCCGCAGACCCATGGCATTTCTTTGCCATTGGCTCGTTTTGTAATACTCGAAGTTGATAGGCTTTCTAAGCGAAACCCCATTTCGTAGTCACGACGTAACGTCTCCGTTCCCTACTCAGGGAACGAGGGTTACATCCATAACCGAGACGTTATTTTGTCATCCAGCAGCAGAGGAAAACTTGGCAGTTGAGTTGTTGCGCTCTTTCTGTTCAATAAGTGCACTTTGTCTTTTTGGAATTTTCAGTGTCAAACAACTCACATTATTTATACAATTTTTTTTGTTGTTGCATAGAATAGTTTATAATATGTGAGGAGTCCTGTATGACTCTGAAGGTATCACCAGTAGTGTCCATCATTTGGAAACATTAGCACTGGGTGGATCGATGATTATAATTGTTTAAAGGATTAATGCTGTTACCAGATAAGGCAAAATACGTTTGTGGTTTATTAGGAAACCAATAAAAAAAAATGTCGAGGGTAAAATGCCTTTACAGATGGCTGATGGATGGAGAGAGACTGATTGTGTTCTTCCTGTTCTTCAGTACACTGTGTTTCTGCAGTTAAATTAAGTAAGCATTCCGTTCCATGCTCTGGTAATTTGGTAATTGTCTGGACAGCCTACAATTTGACTTTAACAGGGGACACTAATGTATCTTCGCTGTATGTGGTCATTACTGATTATCTCGTTTTTAGAAAGGACGTGCTTATTGGTTTGAGATGCTTAAAGTGACACATTTCCATGGAGCCTGTCATTTCATCCTGATCACATTTATGCAGTGCAGTGGAAGCAGGCACTGAATCATGCCAAGTGTTTTGTAAATGATGACAGTTTACAAACAGAAATCGGTTGAAGGACACTAAAAGAATAAAGTTAATTAATGGTCTATAAGGATAAGCTACGGCTAGGGCATATGGTGACAAATAATTTGATTTCATTGGAAGGAAAAATTACGATTTTAGTAGAGCCACACACACACAAAAAGCATTAACTGATGTAACAGTGTGCCATCTGTATTACGCTGTTAGGCAGGCATGGCACTGATGTATCATTTGCAGTGGACACATCCATAAATGAACGTGTCCAAAACAATCTTAAAGTCCACTCGTTAATATGCTCCAGGGTAGGCTACAACACAACCATCAAGTCCTAATTTAATCTTGAATAATCTTGACTAATATAGCCTACATCATGAGAAGTTTATACTTTGTATTATATTATAATTAACAAGGCACAAACATGTCCAGTTATGTAGCTTTCAATGTAAGTGTTCACTTAACACTTTTAGAGCATAAGTGTAAACATTAAGATAAACACTGATGAATTATCATGTTTACTTAATACTTTACATTTCTAGATAGATAAACAGATCTAGATGCTTGGCTCACTGTTGTCTTGTCACCTTTCCGTTTTACTTTTTGATCTGACGACTCCTCGGGTCACATGGCTTTAGAAAACATTCGGACATCCTACTCAGTTGGTCAGATCTACAAGGCCAGCATCATATATTTCGCCAGCAAAAATATACAAATTATTATCATCAATTGCCAACAAAATATTGATCACTAAAATATATTCGACCTTTAGGCCTATTAATTCATTCTTACTTTTGGACAGAAAAAAAAAAACAAAAAAACAAAACATTCTATTTCCAAGATCACAATTATGTAGTTCAAAGTGTTCATGAGCTGCAAATATAAAGTTTGGAAATGTCATTTCTTGGGCGCACATGGAAGGAAGGAAGGAAGGACATTAAACAAACATATCTCTCGAGCGCCCCTGTATGACCAAACCGTAGAAGGACAGACCAAAAACGTAAGGGGGCGTGATTTTACGTCTTACGCTAACCCTGACGTCACACTGGACTCTGGAATCCTTTAGCCTGCAGAGGTAAGTGCTACAAAATAATATCCAGGCCATTATCCTGCATGAAGAGGACTGTTACACGGGAGCTAAATAAAACTTTAATTTCTTCAGCGTATGCTTTGGGATTCTTTCAAGCGTACCGAGGCGCTTCTTTGGGTCGTTTTCTCCAGATCCCGTAAGCACGCAATGCTGCGAGTTTGGCAGGCCAGTTACTGCAGTGCCCATGCGCAGACTCCATGAGTCTGAAGCGTTAAACATGAAATACTGTTACTGAAGCTAAGCTTCAAATGGTGTCCAGATACATGAAATTTGATCGACCCTTTATGTATTGAAGTCATATCATGAGTTTGTGCATGTGTTTGCATGCGAGTACAAGTGAGTCTATATATGAAATGTGATCTTTCACTCGAACTTTGATTTTTCTCAACCCAGTAAACGGCGCAATGGCACTGACGCAAGTTTCTTCTAATAAGTGCAGTGATGGATATCAGAAAGTGTTCGAGCATGACAGGTGAGAGACTGTAGTTTTCATCAAAACCCCCGAATGAAACCTTTACTGATCTTAACATCAACTCTATTTCCAGCTCTGAGTTAAAATGTAAAATGAAGTTCGCCATTTACCTTCCTCCCAAGGCTGAGAGCTCCAAATGCCCAGTGTTTTATTGGCTTTCAGGTACTTGAATTCATTCTGATTCTCTTCTCTAGGCCAGTTTGAGTGAATGAGCGTAACTATTTCATGGTGCATACTGAAGTATACTATATTGTTGCCTTTAAGTACGTTTACATTTATGCTTTTAGCAGACAAAGTGACTTACAAAAGAGGAACAAATCAGTCAAAGAGCCAACAATAATTGTAATACATACCAGTGATGTAGGCTGCTAAAAATGTATTTAACCATACACTGTTTTTTCTAGGTTTGACATGCACAGAGCAAAACTTCATCACTAAAGCAGGGAGCCAGCAGGCGGCTTCTGAACATGGGATCATCATCGTAGCTCCAGACACCAGTCCACGTAAACATCTCAACATTTGTTATACACCACCACTACAGTTTCGAGTCCTGCTTGTCCATCTCGGGAGACAGTACACCCTATAATTATGATTTCTGCCTGGCCAAATCCTAGAGATACACGGACCAACTCATATTAATCATGGAAACGGGTGGATTGTGAGGCCGAACATTACAGAACATTACTGCAACATATAGATAAAAAGAGTATCCCCTGAGGATCAAATAGCATTGTGACTTCCCAGTTTAGGTTAGGGTTTAGATTTTCCCACCAGACCGTCACTCCACTGCTTGGAGAAATTCCAGTTAAAGCATACATCAAATGTAAACTAATATTATGCCATTTAAGTCTGTACTGTTGCAGTAAGAACGTGAAAAACCTCTGGCTATTGTTATGTTGTTGTCAGAAATATTCGAGTCAACCAACACTAAAATTTCCTCATTTACACATAAGCCCATGCTCAGAAAATGAGAGGATTCTGCTCTCGTCAGGTGGCTGCAACATTGAAGGAGAGGAAGAGAGCTGGGACTTTGGGACAGGTGCAGGATTCTACGTCAATGCCACCCAGGAGCCCTGGAAAACCAACTACCGCATGTACTCGTATGTCACCGAGGAGGTGTTTAATTTAGCTCTGTTTTACAAAGTCATACTCTGATGACTGTCACAATTGAAAATTTAAACAATGACACCTTAAACATTGGATCTCGCACTCATCGTATTCATCACATTTCTCTTGTTCTCAGCTCCCACGACTGATTAATTCTAACTTCCCTGCTGATCCGGAGAAAATGTCCATCTCTGGTCACTCCATGGGGGGCCATGGAGCTCTCATTTGTGCACTTAAGAATCCTGGGAAATACAAGGTGTATTAAATATTATATGCACTGCTTCATCATTTAGTTATTTGAAGTTCAGTCTATATAATTATTTTTTTTTTTCTTGTGCATTTGCCTGTTTCAGTCAGTGTCAGCATTTGCACCCATCTGTAACCCCATACAATGTGCATGGGGACAGAAAGCTTTCTCTGGCTATCTTGGATCTGACAAGTCCACCTGGGAGGTAAGAGATGATCATAAGTGTGTACTCTACCATTCAGAATTTGTGGTTGGTAAGATTTTTTTTTAGTGTTTTTGAAATAACTATCATGCAAGGCTGCATTTTTAGATAAAAAAAACAGTAATTTTATGAAATAATAATCAGTGCATAATCATTTTTTTTCTTATTTAACATAGTTTTACCTTAGCACACTGCATTGTACAAGTACAACATTGCTTTATTTGTCTTCCTCTGTCATTTCCACAGCTGTATGACGCTACAGTATTGGCTGAATCATATTCCGGTCCTGAGCTTGATATTCTGATTGATCAAGGCCGTGATGACCAGTTCTTGTCTTCCAGTCAGCTGCTTCCTGACAATCTGATCGCTGCCTGTTCCAAGAAGAAAATTCCCGTAGTTTTCCGCCTTCAGCAGGTCAGTACTGAACCCACTGTGACCAATGAGAGGAATGGCATGTTTGGAAATCTAATTGATTATCCAGTACCTGGGCTTTGATAGCCACACGCCAAAATGGACACATACCAAGAACTGTAAAATGCTAGAATTCATGTGAATTTTTCACTGGAATTATTACTGTATGCTGATAATATGATTAAGGAACATTTTTTGTATTAAATTAAACTAATAAAATGAAAGCATTTTCACTTGTGGTCTCCGATTTTTGGACCACATGGTGGTAGGGCAGGTCTTTGAACTTTAAATAAACCTCAATAATAACTTTAATGCATTGACTTTTGTTATGTTTTAAATGAATTCTCCATCAGTGCAACTAAATCAACTCTCAGGATTAGATGTCACTCTATACAATGGAGTATACATTTTAAGACAAAATCTGCTCTCTTCTGTTCAATCTTGTTTTTCTTTTGCTCTGTCAGGGTTATGATCACAGTTACTATTTCATCTTCTCCTTCATCAACGACCACATCAAGCATCATGCCAAATATCTGAATGCCTGAAGCTATGCAACATGATTATGGCAACCAGCTCTCGTGCCTTCCAGATGATTACAAAACCTATCTACACACCTGGAAATTACATCAGAACCACCTCTCAAACTACAATGCAACCCTTTGTATTTTCATATTCATAATTAATTAACAGGGTGATGTTTAACTGTAGAGACATTTCCTTAAATAAATGCATTTGGTTGTGGTTTTGTATTTGTTGTTCTGCAGTGATTTATTTGAATTAAGTTGTATTAATTACATAAATTCTGCAAATGAATCCGTTGCGCACAATTATTCTACATGTCCTCATTTCACACGTAAAGCAGGCTAAATGGTTCAGACATCTGATTAATGTGGTTTAGCAAATTAATCACCATTATGTCATGTCTACAGTATCCTGAATATTTAAGAAACAAACTAGTCTTTGAAGGTGAAAGTTTTTACTGGTAGAAGTTGGTACAAATAAACCATATTTACAGAGGTTAAGGCAAAAGGTGGAATGACATGCATGCTTTTCCCAAAAACAGTACTGTACATGCACCTTAAAGTTCACAGAATTACAAAGGGGTAAAATCCCAAACACTGAAAAGACATGGAAAAATAAGTCCTATTTATAAAAATTAAAGTACAAAAATGTTTAGTACAAGCCTTTTCTCTTTACAATACATTGAAGATGACAAAAAAATCCCAACATAACATTCAGCAGTTTAAGGTGATTTATCAAACACATTAGTCATCTGATCAGCTGATATAGTTCCTCCAAATACTGTAATATAAATACCCCGCATAATACTATTTGCCAGTTGCCAAAAAAAAGACAGTCCCAAATACATAAAGTGCAAAACACAGTCATTTCAAAATCAAATCTTCATTAAAATCTAGTGTGTAAAGTAGTTTCACTACGTTTTCTCTGAAGTGGTGGGGAATGTTGATAGTACAGTAATGATGCACAACTTGCCCACTGCAGCAGAGATTTGGATACCGTACTTAAATTCTGTCCTTAGTTTAGATATATTAATCAAAAGATACAGCAGTGAAAATGTGTATAGGATGGAACTATTGTCTAATCTATACTTGATTTTAAAAGAAATGCAAATGTTTAAGGCTTACCTCTTGTAAAACTACCACCAAACACCAAAATCTAAGTGCTCTCCCTTTCAAATGTCTCTAAAATTACACTTTCTAATCCATATTTCTATTCCATGCGTTTTAATCAAATTATGACAGTATGAAGAATACCATTAGGATACACCTTACAGTATACTAATGTGAATACGTTTTGAAATGAGTTTAAACTTGTCAGTTTTTGTTGCCAATTAAAGGGATAATCCTTGTCAATGTATTTTATTTGTAATTATTCGCATGAATAAGTCTCTGAAACTATACTGTATATGGACGTGTTATAATTGCTTTCATATAAGAACTTAAATCATAATAAAGCTGTTTTTTTTTTGCCCTGTCAGTTCACATTAATAAAGTAAATTGTGCTTTAAATGTAAGTAAAATAACCAAATATATTTTTACTAAAATAAGCACATCAAATATAAATGTTCTGTACATTTTTCACATTCACACACCACATCACATCACATTACAAATCCTTCTACAAATACAAAACTCTTATTTTAAAAATAATTGTAAAGAACTGTATAAAACCATTATGTTTGTAAATCAGTTTAATAAGAAAATAATTTTGGCAACTGTCAAATAATCTCCAGTGAGATTCCAGCTTCAAATGTTTTGGTCTGTTTCATGGCTGAATCTATGAGGAGATGAAGCTTTGGACATCAGACTTCCCGTAAGCAAATACGCAGTAGAACAAAGTAAAAAAGAAAAATAATAATAAATGTCCTTAGACACACAAACTTACATACAAAAAGTGCAAACATGTGCTCCCATTCTCTCACTCTCACAAAAGAAACACTCTCCTGAAGATATCAAATGCACATACACAAAGAAAGAAAGGTATGTTGCGTTCTACTGTAAACACACTCAGACATTTTCTTTTAGTGATATAATACCTGACTGACAGGTAAGCAGAGCAGAGACTGTATAAAACTATAGTGATGTCACACTTCCCCTGAGACAAACATCAATGGCTCCCAAAAAACAATTTAAAAAGTGGTTTACAGTTTTTCTTGATTGCCAACACACTATAACTGATTCATTTGTCATAATTTCCCAAACCCTTCAACACATTTCACCTTGTTTCACATTCCAATTTTCTCAATTTACACCGGTTTAACCACGTTCTCATTCATAAAACAAACACATAATATAATTAACTCAAGTGTCACAATGTGAACTCAAATAGCACATGTAATCCATGAGTGAACATGAAGTATAGCAAAACTGATGACAAATCTCAGGATAATATAAATAGGAGCACAGGTGATTGTGCTTTAGAAAAAGCATCCTAACACTGGAGAGAGAGCTGAACGAATTATCTACAGGGGTTTTATACTACGTCTTACACACAGTATAATTACGGTACTTTCACTATTCTACTGTATGTACAGTAAACTATAGCACATGTTGTACACCCTCAACACCCTCATTTGTTGCTATATTGTACTATATATTTGCAGAACTGAGAGAAGACTGCCTAAGGGAGGTAGGGAGTTCTTTTATCAGAAGACCAAGAAACTGCTATAGTACTGTATAATGTAATGACATTTGACTGAAAGTGCAGAGGATGCAACGGTAATTGACAGTATACTGTAATGTGTTGCATACCAGGATCATGTTCAATTCTTTGGTATTTGGTGCTTTTCATCTACTGTAAGATCACTTTAGTGTAATGAAAATAATTTTTTCCTAAAGCTCATTGTTGTATTTTACTGTATCTGCACTTTCCTTTATGTTGTATACTGTAATAGAAAAAGTAATAATACTTTTTCAAAAAGCTGAAAAAGTATTCCCGAATATATATTATTGCCCAGAGGTTTTTGTTACAGTGTTGTGAATTGTTCTCACTGCTGTTCTCTAGGCAGGAAAGTAGTCTGTGTATTTGTTATTTGTTTCTGAGGCCAAAGTTTGATTCTAAAAAAAGAGGATATTTTGACTAAAATTAATTGACCTGGAAGTTTGAGATTTGTGCAAGTTGGTGTGTAGTTTTGAGATGGTCTTTATAGTTGTGAGAATTGTTGAATTGATTGTGTGTTCGCAATCGAGAAAAAAATATTTAAAACAAATCAATATTAAAACTGGGAGGACGAGTGTTTTAAATCTAGATCACTAAGGCCCAACACAAATACCATATAATCTAAACAAACACACAATATATATAGTGCTTAGCATAAGTGAACACACCCATGCTAAAGTTGACTACAAAGAGGAATACAAAATCATCTTTTGGAAATTGATCTTAATGGCTGAATTAAAAAAATGAGGAAAAATCCAACCTTTAAGGACACCAATTTTCTTTGTGAATGAATAATGTATTGTAAATACATAAATGTTCTTCCTTAAAATACAGTCAGTCAATAAGTCAGGACACCCCTATGTTAAATTCCCATAGAGGCATTTTTATTTTTAAAGGCCAGTTATTTCATGGATCCAGGATACTATGCATCCTGATAAAGTTCCCTTGGCCTTCGGAATTAAAATAGCCCCACATCATCATCACACACCCTTCCCGATACCTAGAGATTGGCATGGTTTTATTTCAGTTAGCCTAATAGCTGGTTTGATTTGCATTGAGAGATGATCTTATGGAAAGTACCCCATAAAAGATGATTTTTTATTCCTCTTTTTAGTCAACTTTAGAATGGGTGTGTTCACTTATGCTAAGCACTATATATATATATATATATAAATCAGGAATTGTGCATCTCTCAACTAGCTGCTTAATAAATATGTATATTAAATAAAGGAATTTCATATCTTAAGCTAGTTTTTTTAGCTACATTTGCATACACGACTATGGCCTGGGCAACAGTGATCACATAACAGTACTAAATAAAAAAGTAAAGAAAGTTAGAAAAACATGAGCATATACCTGCAGTTGAGGATCAGCTACGATAATAAGAATAAATGGACAGTGTTGTCCAGGGAATTTCTCAAAGATCATCTGGTGGTAGAGGTCCATCCACAGGGAATAGTGTGTGTTTGTGTGTGTGACTCATGTGAAGAGTGTCTGGTTGGTGGAAGTCTCATCCAGCAAAGCTTGGACAGTAATGCCAACTTTGATCAGCCCCTTCTCCTCCAGAATATGATGTGGCAGACATAATTTATCCTGAAGAGAGAGATTCACAAAGAGGACAAATGAAGTGCTTAGTCAGAGAGGAAAGAGACAGGGTCCCCACAGTTATAAGGACATTTTCAGGCATGAGATGTCAAATTATTAAAATCTCAAGTCACGTAATGTTCTAAAAATGAATTATCCTTATTTTATTTATTTTTACATTTATGCTCAGCTCAAAACATTTCATTGTTATCAAGACATTTAATTGTTATCACACCAACTGTAAATTTGACTGGTCAAAAGGAGTGGAAACCACGAAGAGAAATAAAATGACAAAAAAACTTCATTAAAACTGAATGCACTCTTTACTAAATGCAGTTAATTAAACTCATGAAGACTCACCTCATTTAGCAGTGATGCCCAGTATGATATCAGTTATTCAAACAATCAAAAATTCTCTCTCTCTCTCTCCATTTATATATATACGGTATATATATGTATTTGAATCTCAGACACTAAAGCCTAAACACACATACTGTACTGTTCAAAGATTTGGGGTCAATAACAGTTTATGTTTTGAAAGAAGTCTCTTCTGCGCACCAAGGCTACATTAACAGTAATATTGTGAAATATTTTTACAAATAAAATAACCTTTTTCTCTTTAAATATATTTAAAAATGTAAATTATTCCTGTGATGGCAAACCTGAATTTTCAGCAGAAATCAATCTAATATGCTGATTTGCTGCTCAAGAAACATTTCTTATTTTTATCAATGTTACACAAACAGTTGTGCTGCTTTATATTTTTGTGTAAATTGTGATGAATTTTTTTCAGGATTCTTTGATCAAAAGAACAGCATTTATTTGAAAAATAATTGATTTGAAATACAAATCTTTTGTTACATTATAAAATTCTTTACTGTAACTCGATACATTATTGAGCCCTTGCTGAATTCATTCATTCATTTCTTTCAAAAACAAAAATAAATATTACTGACTCCAAACGTTTGAACATTAACAAGAGCTAAATTGTAAGACAAAAATGTCTTAAAAGAAACAACCACAAAGCTGAGAAAAACAACCCGAACTGTACATTTATTCCTTTTCATATGATCATAAAAACCAATGCCTTACAAAGTCCATAAGCAGCAGCAGCACTGCACATAATTCAACACTGAGAGGAGTCAAAGAGTCTAGATCTGGACAAACAGAAGCAGCTGATCCGTCAGAGCACCCCATGCAGTCTCGTTTAAGCCTTTTACAAACACTTTTTGCATTTGGTAGCTTTTTTGAGAAATGAGCAAACAACTGGGAAATTATACCAAACAAAAGGTCCTGAAGAGTCAGTATTGGGTTTTATTTTTGTCAAACTGGATGATGAAAGCAGAACCAATTATAACTGATGTGATCGTACAGATAAGGTTCAAAGTGTTTTATATTTTGAGGAAATGATGTCAAGAGGCCTCAGTGACATCACTGTCTGCTCATTTGCTAACAGTTCCTTTTAATGATTCCTTTTATCTGTGATGAGATGAACAAGGTCATTCTATTATGTGAGATAAAGATCAGGACCTAAAAGAGAATCAGAGGATCCAATTAGAAAAGAGACCAATTAGAATCAAGAGAAACTCTGTGCAAAGACCTTCACAGCAGGTAATTACATACAACAGAGATTGCACTTAATTATTGAACTCATACAAATTGGGTTAATCTGATATTTCATAATTTAAAAACCTGACTTAGCCCTTTATTACAGATCACTGATAGAATGCATAAAGAAAATCTTCATGAAGAGCCCATTATTCCTCATTGTTTGGTTTGGATTAGTCACCTCTCTGTGGAATTATGCATATTACATTAATTACAAAATAGATTTGTTTCCCTCTGTGTGTTATTTTGCTTTTCTGATTAACAGGAAATTAAAGAAATGATCCATTAGTCCTATTCGGATCTCTCTCATTAGGAGAAAGAAAATGCTATTGATGGTGTTTTGGATGAAATAACACTGTAATCATGTATGACTCGACTGTGCATGATATTTAATCATTTTCAATAACACATCAACTTGAAAAGATCAGTCCTTGACTGCTGCTTTTAAAAACACTGTTAACCAAAAGTTGCTGCTTTTTACATCCAACAGATTAATTAGCCCTTATGCTAATGATTAATATTTTTAACCTCACCGTACAAGACTTCTGTGCAAAGCAAAGCTATCGTTTTGCTTTAATGACATCTGGGCCTTCACTTACTCAAGTGTCCTCATATTATCATCTATAAATTGTTTCTTTGAAGCAGACCTTGATTCCTGTAGATACATTGCTCGTCATTGGCATGATTGGCATGAGGCAAAACCTCCATATCCGTTTCTTTTATTTTAGTTTCGTCATGCAGATGCTAGTAACTATACCACTTATATTGTTTATATGTGAATTTTTCAAGAGGACCACCAAAATGTTCAGTGTTATGACTGTTGAAATACAACTTCACTCTTAAAAATAAAGGTTCCAAAAGGGGGTTTTCGCAGTGATGCCATAGAACCATTTTGGGTTCTTTAAATAACATTTCCATTATCAATTCTTAGAAAAGTACCTTTTTTTTCCAGTGTGAAGAACAATTTATATAATCTAAAGAACCTTTGTCCACCATAAAGAACATTTTGTGGAATAAAAAAAATCTATGGATGTTAAAGGATCTTCATGGAACCAATAGAGAACCTTCATTTTTAAGTGTTTCTGCAACATGATTTAGAGAGACTGAAAGTGAGTGAGAACGTGGCCATATGTCATTCCTTATTAAAGTGCTCAGTGCACCTCTAGCGTAAATGTTTGCAAAAAACCTGTTTAAAGATGGTTTCCTTAGCATTTTGCAAAGACTAATAAATATTATATTCGCAAACTAATAAATAATACTTCCTCAAACATGAAAGCATCAAGTTCCTGTATTAAGGAGCACATGTTGCGTTACAAAAATGTTTTGTGTTATGTATGGTTTCACCATAGCCAAGTTAAGATTTCTACAAATAAAATGAGCTCCAACTGACAGGGATACATATTTTCCTTCAAAAAACAGGCAGTGTCCATTTTAAGACGTTCAATGTGCTTTCTAAGACAATAAATGAGATAATGTGTTATTTGTGTATTTTAGTGTATGCATGTTATTTAAATTCACTCCAGCTGTAGGCCACAAACAGCATCACCAGACAGAAAACGTGCAGCAGACTTGAGCCAATCAGATCCCATATTTGCCAGGAAGGAGGTGGAGTCTGAGTGGACTCAGGGATAAGCTTCTTGACCTCTGTCTCTTTCTCCCTGCCACCCTCCACCTTTCCTTCCTTCTGCCTTGTTCCTGTGCTCTCCAACATGAGCAAGGCCGCGACCACGGCCCAGAGTGGACGCAGGTTACACTGCAGAACGTCATAAGCCGAACAGAGAGAGGACTGAGAGAGATTCAAAACATAGAGGGGATGACAAAAAGAACCAGGAAGAGGAAGAAGAGAAGAGAATAGAGTAAGAATGAAGTATAGACGGAGGGAGAAACAAAGGGAAAATAAAACCAAATAAGAGGGGAAATGAGAAGAGGAGAGATCATCCGTTCGGCACCAGAGAAAGATAAGGAAGGTGATTAGACAGTGATAAAGGTCAAAGGTAAAATGCTTTGAGCTCAATAAACGGTAAGAATTCTGGATCATTCTCAGGAAACAGTGCCATATGTGTAAAAAAACTTCCTTTAGTTAACAAGAAGATACTGGACTAAATCACATTGTTTGATACATTTCACTCGATTTAGTGTGTGCTGCTAAAGACAGTTTGAAACATTGTTTTTCATCAAAATTAATCTCGTACATCTCCATTACATGGGTTATAAACAGTGTTTTGTTCAACCTGTTTCACTGTGACATTTACCTCTTCATAAATTACTTTATTTTTCGGACCTATTTAAAGAAATGACATAATATTTGTGTGGTTGAACCACATGGTTCAAACAAAGGTAGTATATATTACAGTATTTCACGTATTTCTATTTGCTCACACATATTGGCATCATCAATCTCAATAGTTCAGCTGTTTATAGAAACAAAAATGGTGATTCATTTTTTTTTATAATTCTTGGCACAAAGGGCAAGAACATTGATTAAATAATGTGGTGTGGTGCAAATACATTTGTTTTTCTTCAGAAATCATTCTAATATGCTGATTTTGTGCTCAAGAAACATTTTTATTATTATCAAAGTTGAAAACTGATGTGCTGCTTACATTTAAAAATGTAAAAATAAATGACTTTGTCACTTTTAAACCGTTAAATGTGTCCTTTCTGAATAAGTATTAATTTCTTTAGAAATAAAATCTTACTGACTCCAAACTTTTGAACAATAGTGTATATAATAATGTTTGAAAGCGCACAAATTACAAACTTTCTGTGACCATTGAAAAAAAAAAAAAAAGACTATTTCTCCTGAATAATATAAAAGAAATATGAGGGGATAATAAACAAGTATGGCTTTTTTTTCTAAATCATCTTTTTAAAGGCACACTATGCAAGAATTGTACCTCAATATAACAGCTTCAAAGTCATTTCGGTGGTAAACAAACTCATAGTAGGGCGAATCATCCTGGTAGTAAAGCGTTGGGGGGACGCTGCTGGAAAAACCAGCAATGCAAGTTTGAGAGCAGCGCCCCTGACAAATCTCGCGAGAATCACAACATGCTTTACGGCAACGACGTCACACACATCAACCACAACATGAAGCACGAAGACACTTTTGTGCATTTCAGACGTGATAATCGACGATGGAAAAAGCAAAGAAAACGCGGTCGGAAGAGACTAGGAAAAGGAAAAGAGAATGAAATAAATGCATCAATCCGCAAGTTTTGTTTGAGTTCTTTAATGGTCTAGTGGTAAATCTTTTGCCAAGCGTGTCAGAGGTTACAGGTTCTAAGTTTTTTCTCTCTCATCAAAACTGAATATGTTTATCAGTGGTTACAGTCTATCAAGCAGGGACACGTTTTTGTGCATTTTATTTTGTGATTTCACCGGAATGAATAGAGAGTCTCCGCAACGGCGATAGATTGAAGAGCGCGTCCGAGTGAAGACTGCGCGCGAGCCGCCACAGAGAACACTGTATCCATGACACTGATAGCAGCGGGCACGAGCGCTCAGCTTGAGTTCAAAAACACATTTTAGCGCTAGATCTCTTATTTAATGCAAAAAATGCACACTATGCAAGATTTGTACCTTAATATAACAGCTTCAAAGGGGTATCAGGCTGTGAGTGCAGAGACCAGTCTATGGCAGAGTAGCTCTGCATGAGTGGTATTTACGACATTAACATTAAATACAAGTACTCCACAGCGACTCTATGGGTCGCTGTTTGACAAAAACGGAATTCCTGCATAGTGTGCCTTTAAACTTGTAAAACAAAGTAGGAAAAAATCCTCAAATTTTCAAACACAAATGGCACCATTTCCAGAGAAGGACCCTCTTACTGCCTTCTGAAAAAGAGTTTTCCGAGAGAGAGGTTGAATGTTATAATAAGTCATTGTCTCTGTTTCAGAGGGCAGCTGTGGCTGGGACAGATGCTGTTAGCATGGTGGTTAGCAGAGCATGTGAAGTAGTGAGTAGTGAGCGTATGCCAGGCACAAGTCAAGCTACAGCACTAGAAACTGTACAAAGCAAGAGAGCTGCAAAAGCTAGTAAAGATCAGAGCAGGTCAAGCTACACTAGTGCGTAACTCAACAATTACACTGCACCCCTAGTAAGTTAATAATAAAAACAATGATATACTGTGTAAACCTAACCTTTATAAGAGCAAAAGTTACCAAACAAACAAGGCTTGCCACATTATCCCTAAACACATTAACAGAATAAACTAGCCTGTTAAACAGTATCAGCTACGCGTAACTGGGTAGCAAACACAAAAGACACATAATGACAAAGCTAGCTGCCATGCAGACTTGTAGTAGCTACTGCTACTACAGACACAAGCTATGACAACTACAAGGTTCCTGTACGGCACGCTCATCAGAACAGCCTGTTATGAATGGCTTGGACCAAGCTCAACCCATAAAGACATGAAGACAACATCTGAGTTCCTACTAGAAAGGCCACTGATATGGTAGAATAACCATTTTTTGGAGGGCAGGACGGCACAACCAATAGAAACGTTTGCACAGTTTGAGCAAGAATGTAAAAAGTGGACCCAAAATTGACCACACAAAAAGAGATATCAACAACAAACATTTCGTCCATGTTTCAAAGGAACATGGTCGTTGTGCTCATTGTTACTAATTTGGACAAAAACTAATTGCTTCTAGTTTTGTGTTTAGGATAATGCATTACGCATGTTGTTACACTGAAATAATGGTTTTATGGACGATTTACACAGAAATTCACTTTTCCACTCATGTGTCAATATTCCATTGTCTGTTTATCACTCTCTGTCACAGCTTGAAGAAACATCATTTATCATTTATCAGAGAGCAGGTCAGAGCCAGTAACAGGATGGAATGAAGCTCTGGAAATGGATGAAGCCTAAAGCCATGATGATAACATCTTAATACAAGGGCATGATGCAGCTCTAGTATGAGGTTGTGAGAAAGTGCCTGTTACTGCTGTTCTATGATCAGTTTTCCCCCAGATCTATTGAATAGAGAAGGTCCAGGAGGCTTTTGAAGCTGCTTAACACAAGGCTCCAAAACATTTAAAGGCATGACTGATCATAGGCCAGTTTGAGGCAATCTCAGCTGCTTCAACCAATCAGATTAGGGGTGGCTGATGATCAAAATCAGTTATGTCATCAAGTGATAAAATGTTTTTAACCAGAACCTGTTTTTTAAGAAGCCCTGGGTGTACAGGTTCATTTTCACAAAAACTCATTTGAACTAATCGGGCAGGTTTCCCAGAAAGAGATTTAGATAAGTCAGGAAATTCAGTGGAAATCCCCATTAACAGCCCACTTCAATGACAGACAAGTTATAATCTGTCAAATGTATAGGATCAGAGTCACAGGGTGAATTGTTCACCAAATACGAATTAGACTACAGTCTCTTAAAACAGCTCAGTTGGCAGTAATACCAGCAGCTATTTTCTATGTAGGAAATATGAATACCAGAAGAGCTCCTATTTACTTTAATGGGGAAAGACTGAAACTGTTAGAAACTGTTTGTCAGTAATAATACATTTCAAATAAGCAACCGAAACAGACAAAAATAGTATAATAAATTGTGCTTCTTTCATTCAGTAACACTAACAATATATTTAATCTATGATTGACTTCTTTTACTGAGAAGAAATAATTTTACCCCACCACCAGTAAATGAATGCTTTTAATGTAGGACAGTACATGAGAGACTAGTACAGCAAAACCTGTACAAACAGTGGCCCTTGAAAAACAGATCTAGTTAATTTGGCATTCACAAAAAAGAATTACATATTCACCTGAGGGACTCCCATTTTCCTGCAGGCGTCCAAAAAGTTTTCAACGTTTCTGCGACATTTAGCCATGCTAAGCTTGGGCTGAAGGTTTAACGTGTCCATGTGCAGATATCAAAATAGAGAGAACAAACAGGTTAACGAACTTCAGTCAACATACACTAGTGTTCAAACGTTTGGGGTCAGTACGATTTAAAAAAAAAATAATTTATACTCTTATTCATCAAGGAAGCATCTAAATTGACAATAAAGACATTTAAAAAGTTTCCATTTCATATACATGCTGTTCTTTTGAACTTTCTACTCAAAGAATTTCTGAACAAAATAAGTATCACGGTGAAAGCAGCACAACTGTTTTCAACATCGATAGAAATAAGAAATGTTTATTGAGCATCAAATCAGCATATTATAATGATTTCTGAAGGATGATGTGACACTGAACACTGGAGTAATTCAGCTTTGCCATCAAAGGTATAAAAAAAACATTTTAAAATATATTAAAACAGTTATCTTAAAGCTGCAGTCCGTAGCTTTTCCTCTTTGTCGCCATCTCTCTGTTCGAAATCTGTAACTGCAGTGATTCGCGGAATTATCATCTTTACGTGGGTTGTAAATCGGCATGAAACAGCGCGTATGAACACAGTGTTTTGAGGCGAGTGCTGCTGTCAGTCACCGCGCTGTGTGGATACTGTCATACAGAATCACAGATTCACTTTTTGAAAGTTTGACCAACATAAGAATTTTCATAAGAAAATGTCTTCTGAACAAGTAAGTAACATCCATTTTTGTTCTGACCAACTAAGGGGGAAAAAGCATTCGACATGATAAGCTTCGTTAGATTTAATCAACGAGATTTACAGCAACCGTGCAAATAATAGCCTACTTTGTTCTCAAATTGTTCATGTTAACAACATCAGCATTGCGTGACTAATGTTAAATTTAATGTGTTTTATGGTTACCTGTGTAGTTCAGAATTCATATTCTCCATAATAGCAAAACAAGAAAGGCACAACAAAGGAAACTCCATAACTGTGTGAATTAAGAAAACGTACTGTTACACGATTGAACTATTGAAATGTCTTACTTGTTCAGCAGAAAAAAGCCGTCTCTTCTTCCGTTTCGAACCCCTTCAAAACACGGAGTTCACGCACTTTTCAAAAGCCCCGCCGATGTTTAAATCCTTGTGTTCGCATGAGACTGTTTCTTTCTCTTTCTCTAGCCACCTTAAATCCGAAGTACGAAGTCTTTTGGGTTTTATAACTGCTGAATCTCCAGTTGACACTGATGATTGTTGTTTGGATCTTTCTGGATGCCATAAGTTTAATTATGTAAAGTGCTGCGAGAAAAGCCTATACATCTAAACATCTCGTCACGCGCAGTATAGCCGGCTAGCCGAAACTCCTTCTTTATGTGTACGGGTGTGACGTCATGACGCAAAGACATGCTCGAATTTCCCGCGGAAACCCACCAGTACCACTGGAATTAAAATCATTATTACAAGCTAACCGTTTTGAATCTAGCTATGGCAAGCAGATAGTTTTGACCACTGGCTGAATAAGTATTTTTTTATATAATTATTTTGGATTATTTTTAACTTGAAAAAGCTACGGACTGCAGCTTTAAATTGTAATAATATTTCTCAATATTACCGTTTTTACAAAATGTAGAATAAGAGAATTCAAAAATTAAAAGTTAAAAAAAAAAATTATGGACCCCAAACATTTGAAAGGTAGTGTATAGTGTTTGTGTGAATGTGTGGATCATTCAGAGATGACTCACCACTGCAGGGGATGGTACGTGGATACTGGCCACTGAACGCGGCTGAATGTGATTGACTAAGTGACAAAGCACGACCCCATCCATGAGAGAGGAGCCCAGATCTCCAGGAAGAGCTACTTTCAGTCTGCTCTCAATGCTCTGGCAAAATCAATGAGATTTGTTAATAAATACACTTTTTTAATTTAAATATTAAATCTTGTGGGGTCATTTTTAGTCAGTCAAGCTAACTGACCGACTAACTAATACAGTTAGTTTATATACTTCGCTTCTGTGTGAGTGTGTTTCGTACCTCTCGTAGTTGTTCTGTGAGCTCCAGCTCCTCTCTGAGCTGCTCCATCTTTCTCCTCATGGTGAACTGAGGATCCACTGATTCCAAAGTCTTTTGCGTCCTGAAAAACACTGTCACACAACTGAACCGTCATCAGTCTGCACAGAGCATGTTATAACTCTTGTCTTATTCCCACATGCATAAAGACACAATTTAAAGTCAAATCCATCATGATATCCGAAAACTCTAAACTTTAGGTAACATATGGCGATTCTGACATTAAATGTCACTACTTTTAGCATTATGCTGCTTTTTAATGGACAAAAGGCTTTTATTTTCATTCTTTATCACAATGAACATCCTGAATTTTTAAGACACTGTCCATATCTGACAGCTCACAGCCTTCATTATATGACATTTCCCCACAAGGGGGAGCACTGGTCAAGACATGAGAGAAAGGAAGATTTAGAAACAACACTTCATTCCACACATCTGAGTGTGCTTCTGTAGTTGCATAACTAGTCATCCTGTGAAAAAATGAAAGGAAGAGGACAGTATGAAAGGAACACTAAAAGGATGTTATTCCAGAACATTCCTCCCTCTTTTTGTTGTCTCACAGTTTAAAGCCCTGGAGCCATGTTTCTGTGCTTGGACATTGATGTAATACAGCAAGCATATGCCAGACTTCTCTGGGCAGCATAAACAAAAAAAAAGTGTGTGTGTGGTCCTGGTAAACCCTACATTAACAAATGTCCCCACAAAGATGGCAATATCCGAAATCTTTATGAGGAAAACGAGCTTATAAATCATACTAAGTGATGTTTTTTGAAAATGTAAAAATGCAGAAAGTTTTCTGTGATGGGTAGGTTTATGGTAGGGTTAGTGTAAGGGGATACGATATACAGTCCCCATAAAACAAAAAAAAAACGCAACATGTGTGTGTCTGTACCTACTTAAAATTTTGGGACAAATTTATACCCCAAAGTGAGCTAAATCTGACAAAATCTCCTTTGGTAAAAAAATAGCTTTTTTATTGTAAAAATCCAGATAGGATAACTAGCAGTATATAAAAACAATATAAGTCAACAGAATGTCCCCATGTAGATGGCTAAACGTGTGTGTGTGTGTGTGTGTGTGTGAGAACCAGGGAGAAAAAAAGATGGCTTAAAAGTCATTTATCATGCTTCAGGGGCGACTCTGTGTTTTACAGCCTATTTACTTACTTAAAAGTGTGTATTTATTATGTTTATGTATACTTATTTTTTTCTGCCAGCCTAACATAGAAACAGTAGGCGCGTTTCCATTACAGATTTGCGCAAAACTTTTGCGATTTTTTCTAAATGTCGATAAAAAACTATTGCGAAATGACGGCGTTTCCATTAACTGATGTTATGCGACTTTTTCCCCTCTCGCGATAAGTAATTTAAACATCAACGGGTAGGTTTATAGCCTATATCCCTATATCACAGCCACCGCACCACCACACTAGACATTATTATTAATGGAAGGAGACGTGGTGTGTTATCCAAGCATTAATGGCAGGGAAAGACCCGTATACTGCGAACGGCATAAGGAGTTTCTGGGTGTTTCTCCCTCATTTCTGCTCCGAGGTCTGATTGTGGCATTTCTTTGAGGTTTAGAATCCAGTATTCCTGTAGCCTATTGTTTCTTTTATGAATTTAATAAAGAACTCTGTCCAAACGGTCAGTGTACATTTGTGTCCATTCGTTTTTCCTTATTTAACCCGTATTGCAAAACGAAAAATGAACGGTGGTTGTTTTTTTTTAAATGCAAAGTTGAACACCAATTTTTTTTTTTTAATTTAAACTGTACACAAATGCTGCGGAAAAAAAAAATCGACTAAATTTCAGATGTTTGTTTATGACTTTTTGCCCCTTTACTAAACATTTAAAATATTCCCAACTTAATACAATTTTTTTTTAGATTTTAATGGTTTTCTAAGGCCAAATTAGAACCTGAAAATTATATTTTTCCCGCAGTGCTGAATGAGAAGAGCCATATTTAGGCCTATGTCTCTGGAACCACAGCCTACAGAAAGGTGATTTAGGTGAGTTATAGGCTAATGATAATAAATGTGTCTGAAAGAATAACGAGGCATTTTAATTTTATTAATAAACTTGTTTTCTAAATTAGTGTCGGCTAAAAACATTTCCATCTCCGCTGAGGCGCGCCGCGCGAATGCACCTTTAGAGAGAAATGCACCTTTCATACGGATTACATAATCAGAAGGTATTAGCTTTCGATTCGAATTTGTTCGTTTTAAAGTGGACATTTCAAGCTTTAGCTTTTTTCACGGAGATCATGAAAGCGCGCATGATTGTTTTATTTTATTTTACAAAAGCACAACGTTTTCTTGTTATTTTGAGTTTACACAAATAAAAGCATAGTTGCGAATAATGTATTATTATTTTCTGTATGACCAGAAATTATAGAGTATTTTAAGTTGTTTTCACTGTTGATAGGAAAACGCAAGTGTTCGCGCCCGCGTCTCCCTGCCTGCAGCGCGCGCTCCACACTCTGCACAAACACTTGGATATGCGTCAAAATCTTGTGTTTCTTTGTGATAATCTTAGCCCTGTATTATTATTGTCTAACCATTATGAATGACATTTGACGAATTGCTTTGTTCCTTTTTTTGGATAAAAGCATCTTCTAAATATGTAGCCTAATAAATGTTATAATAATGATGATAATTATTAGCCCATTATTATTTGCGTATACCACGGACGGACCCCAAACACACCGCGTCTTCTAAGTCAGGTGACTGTAAATGCGCAAAAACTGTTTCCATTGCAGTTTTGCGAAATATTCCTTTTTCGAATTGCCTGAAAAACCTCCTCATGCGAGCGTAAAAACTTTTTTGCGATAAATGGGAGTTTTTGCGAAATTGACGTGTTTCCATTGAGCGTAATTTCAATTCGCAATTTCAATTTGCGCAATTTGAAGGGTAATGGAAACGCGGCTACTGACTCAACCAATGGCTTGAGTTTTGGGGCGGGGCTATCTGTTTGTTCACCAATAGCAAACCGAGCTGTGTTTGAAGTTTGAAAACATTTTTTTTAAGCCAGTGACACAAATTAAACTTTAGCTTTAAAACAAAGTGTCTTTCTCCCACATTTTCTTTAGTTTCTATCTCACCATCTCTCTAAGAGCAACACACATATCAATTCAACCCAGTATTGGCAAGAATAAGATTAATTCTCGCATTTGCGGTTACATCGAGTGCTAAGACAAGTGAGAATTCCAGAATATTATCAACAAACTTACAGGTCAAAGAGAGAAACAACACACAGGAGAATTTCTGACATCTAACAGGAAGTTACAAATTCTCCAAGTTGTCTAAAAGTATTCATCTTATGGACAGAAATCAACCTCTGTAGAATCCGAACACCACATCATTCACAAAGTGCATAATTGCCTACTCTGGTTATTGTTTTAACTACCAAAAAGAGTGTAGTACTCTCAGCTCAGACATTTTATGTTTAAAAACTATTCACAGATTTCCTCTAAAATTGGTTTAGATCATGTAAAAAGGCAGCAGATTCCACCCGAGTCTCCTAATAATATAAAGTTCAATAGTACCCATTAGTATAAAGCTATTCATTACTAAAATGCTTTCCCCCCCATCACTACCTCTTTCTCTTTCTTTCTCGTAAGACGATGAGCAAGTACACATGTCTCCTGGCAGTTTTTCATCCTCTGAAAGCATTTCCTCTTAAATGGAGGTCTGATTTTCCCTCTGGGGCCATTATCTAATGCTTCAAAATAGCAGCTCTATAAATACACGCATCTCCATTTAAAGCCACTGGGCCACCCCAAATTTCAGCTCAACCACATCCTCTTTCACTCCTGTGTTTTAAAAGACCCTTTAATACTACACAAACCTCAGAAACATTTTTTACTTTCATACAAAAAAATGTCAGTACACGAGTGACTATTTTACTATGGTCAAAGGAATAGTTCACTCAAAAATTTAAATTCTATTCTCATTTACTGACAAATCTGTGGAACATAAAATAATATATTTTGAGATATGTCTCTGTTATTTTTGTCAAACAATGGAAGTCAATGGTCACCACCACGGTTTGGTTACCAACATTCTTCAAAATATCTTCTTTTGTCTTCCACAGAAGAAAGAAAGTCATACAGGTTTGGAACGATGCGAGTAAATGATGACAGAATTTTAATTTTTGGGTGAACTAACCCTTTAATTATTGGAAGCTGGTGCTAGTGAATCTTGTCAGGAAATAATTATTTAATTAATTTCTTCCACATATGAACTTTCAAAACCAAACACCCATTGAAAGTGAAATGTTGGTCAATGGGCTGAAGTATTCAGCCATATCTGAAAAACAATTAGTCATTTCTAAAAACTGATACTCAATCATTAAAAAAGACAAAAAGTTGGACAAACTAGATTTTTACATTGTCTGAGCCGGATAATGAAAGTAATGCTTGCCAAGCAAAAATCTGCTGCTATCATGCTAGGGTACTGTGGGTGGTTGCCAGAGCGTTGCAGTTGAGTGTTGCAAAGCAGTTGCTAGAGAGTTCTGGATGTTATTAGGCATTGATACGTGGTATCTAGAGAGTTGTGTCTACTAGGGGGTGGCTAGGGTGTTCTGGGTGCTTTAAGGTGTATTCACATTTATATGATAGTGACTCAATGCCTTAGCAATCAACAAAAAAGGGGAAAAAATAAAGAAAAATAATACAAATATACAAATTATAGTATATTATAAAGAAGAATAAAAACACCTGACATTTCATCTTTGATAAGAAAACACAAAGAGACTAACTGAAAGGTATGTGACTGTACAGGACGATACATTGAGCAGACCTACCACTGCTTGGCATGTCTCCTTCAGCTGGGCTAGGGGGCGTGTCTCTATCGGTGGGCAGGGCCTGTGTAAGTGGGAGGGGACAGGGCCGAGTCGAGCATGGCACAGAGGGCGAAGCTACATGCAGGTATCAACATAAAGGGCAGTGCCAGTAGGAGGAGGAGCCAAACAAGGGATTTTCATTGGAAAACGAAAGGAAACAGGCAGGGGTTTCGGGTTTCAGGTATCAGTCAGAAAATGGGAGGATGCCGAGCAACAGTAGTTTGTGTAATAAGAGCACACAAGCAGGCAAGCAGCAGTTCAGGGAAACAGGTAAATAAAAGGGAAGAGAAGGAAACAGGAAGATATGCAAAGCAAAGAGACACGTAAATACAGCACAACACAAAAGAGAAATATTAAAAACAAATGAAGTCAATGTTAACAGTATTTCAGTACCAGTTTGTTAGCATGCTGTTATGCGCCTGGTACAAATGACTATGATTTATGTCAGACTCTGGGCATGATAATGCTGTTAAAGGGATAGTTCACCCAAAAATAAAATTCTGTTATCATTTACTCACAAGTTGTTCCAAACCTGTATACATTTCTTTGTTCTGCTGAACACAAAGGAAGATGTTTTGAAGTAACCAGGCTGCTTTGGGGCACCATTGACTCCCATAGTAGGAAAAAAATAAATACTATGGAAGTCAATGGTGCCCTAGAACTGTTCAGTTTCCCACATTCTTCAAAATATCTTCCTTTGTGTTCAACAGATGAAAGAAATGTATACAGGTTTGGAACAACCTGAGGGTGAGTAAATGATGACAGAATTGTCATTTTTGGGTGAACTATCCCTTTAAAGTTAGACATAAATAACAGATCACAGATAATGACGCTTAGATGTTAGAGCAGGGGTCTCAAACTCAAATTAACTGGGGGCCGCTAGAGGTAGAGTCTGGGTCAGGCTGGGCCGCATGAAGTATTCCACAAAAAAATAGTATTCAAGTATTCCAAAAAAGGAGCACAACTGATCCAATCTTCTCAATATTTATTAACGTTTCTTCTGAACAGTTCCTCTGAATTTGAACATTCCTTTCTGTACATGATTGGTTCTTCATGAGCTGTCCTTCTGACAGTTGAAGTTCATTTTACAAACTTTCTTTGTCTATAACACATATTTGTGATATTTATATTTGCTTATGTCCTTTTTATTTTCTTTATACAACACATTAATGATATTGAATGTTTTTTTTGGAAGGCACATTTCCTTTTATTATACTTAGAAAAACAATTATTGCTTTTGAAATACAAATATTTGCAGTCATGTCTGCCCGTCTTATTGAATTCTTCGTATAGTGTCTCAAATTACTGACTGCACAAATCAAAGCAAACCTTCTTATGAACCTCTTGGACACATATTACAAGCTCAAAGTGATTATTCTCACATTGTTTTAGAGCAGGGTCTCTCTCCAACACGTCGCTCGCGAGCTACCAGTAGCTCGTGGCCTGATTGGTGGTAGCTCGCCAAGGGGCCGTTCACATATCGCGCTCACATATTTTGCGCGCTCAAGTTCGTAATTTCAAATGTAGGCGCGCGGCAAGCGCGCTCATAATTGAAGCGACGCGCTCATTTTTTCCAGGCGCAGTATGTTTGTACTTCGCGGTTGTCTATGACAACTATTGACAACAAACCCTCCGTAAGCTGCCACGAGACTATCTATGGTAGCTCATAAGGGATACATTTTTTTTATTTTATTTTTTTCGCGGCACACGCAACGACGGGCCGCACTAACATTAAACTTTAATGTCAAGTAGGGGGCCACAAAATATCACCCCGCGGGCCGCAAATGGCCCGCGGGCCGCGAGTTTGAGACCCCTGTGTTAGAGGGTGAAGCAAAAAGAAGCCTCTATGCAGCTAAACAAACAGCTACATCAATTAAACTGCATCCAGATGAAGTTAAGCAAGTTGTTTTGTCTATTTATTTAACTGTACACATTAGTAATGTGTGGTATATATGTGGAATAAATAAAATGTATGTGTAAATGAAATTAGAAGATATTCAGTTGCCATGTCTTATTTTCTAAACCAGATGCAGTTTAGCCCCCAAAGCCAAGAGAGTAATAATAAACAGCAGTATATGTATGCATAAAAAGCCTGACTGTAATGTTGCATGGCAGTTATGAGCTTGACAGGAAAACAGGTGTTTGCCACAGGCAAAAAGATCTTTATACACTTCGACCTCTTATTACTTAAATGTGCTGATAATAATGAGAGAGCCCAAAATGTGGACCATCCTCTAAAGTGCAAAGCCACCCATGCCAACCAGCACATTGGCACCATGTGTGTTAGTAAAACAAAACTGTTCTCACCTGATCTGGGCTTCAGACCAAAGGGAGGTGAGCTCAGTGTGGGGCTGGAAACTGGGGTTTTGTCTTCATTCTGGTACATGACACAAACACACTCAGCACAAGTGCACTGAACCAAGTCAAATTCAGTTTTATAAGTGTAAAGTGCACCTTATGATCAGAGCAAAGCCATGGTAACATTAAATGATAATGGTAACATTAAAAAGATTTACCTCGGTAACTTGGTTCTCACAACTATCATATGATCCTTCCTGGCCAATCACGTCGCCCTATGAGTGAGAAAAAACAGGCTGTGAGATTCTTGAGATGATGTAAGATGTTAACAAACAAGCTCTTTACTTAGACATAGTGAAACAATGCATCACTGTTCTCTGACTCGATTCGATATGACTCAGTATTTCTTTCTCGGTCTCTAACTGTTAGTTTTTCCTCTTTTATTAGATAATTGCATGATTCTCAATCCCCATGAGTAAATTTACTTTTAATTTCTATTCAGTTCATGTAGGCTACATTATGGACTAAAAGTACATGGACCAATATGTTGGAATTAATACTAGACAATTAAAACAAACAAATGCATCCAGCACCACAAATATGACAAATACTGTATATTAAAGGTCCCATATTGTACACCTTTGTGGAGTTTTATTTTAGGTTTTGATGTCATTAAGAATATATAATTGCCGTATAAGTACCAAAAACCATCTCAATGTATTTTTACAGCTCCTTTCTCAGGAGCTCTGCTAAGAACAGGTGGATTTTAGCCTTTCTAATTAATATTCATGAGCCTCTCTTCTGATTGGCCTGTTGTTTTCTGAGTGACGCACGGCCAGGCCAACCACAGGTAACTAGGGTCATGTATGCTGTAGCCTGTTGTGGCTTGGTGATGCTCACAAGTAAGGTAAATAAAACACCTGTAATGATGGACATTGCTGAGGGAAATGTTATCTGGCCTTATATGTTCGAGCCGGACTCAGACCCCGAATCGGCGAAGACGGGAGACAACCAACCACCCCCTCAAACGCGCATACAAAAGGATGTTTCAGAATGGTAAGTAATGTTTTTTATTATTATTATTAATTTTACGCTGGCTCCATAATGTAACATAAGATGTGTTAGAAGTTTATTTACAGGTTGCGAATTTAAGGTCAGACCCAACAATGTAGGGACTGCAGCATCTTTGATGAGTAGCTTCTTTGAAAAAACGGCATTGAACTGTGCCTGATTGACGAAGCAGTCACTTGTGAAATGTGCAGAACAGACGGTTAAGGTAGAATTAAATTGCTGTGGTATTTCCAAATAAATAAACATTAGCCACCACTGGTCTCTTATATTAATGTTGTTCAGAAGCCTGTGCAATGATGTAGTTTCCTGACATCCATTGACTGAACAGCGTTTTCTCGACAAGTTTCCGTGTTGTTGTTGATCATCAATGGCATGGACGCGATGTTGTCTGGGGCTTGGGCAAAATGAGGGAGGGACATGGGCAGTGTTCGGGGTGGTGACTGAGTAGTTCTGACGTCACATTTTTACGGAAGTCACAAAGGCTTGTGAAAAGGCACAGCTACTTTATGCAGGCTGTGTGCATTTGTCTGTAGATTGACTGTTTTCGAAACTTATATGGTAGTTACATAGCCCCTAGACCTCTGTTATCATGAAAAAAGCCAGGAAATTTCAGTTTTGACAATATGGGACCTTTAAGTGAAAATCCCTTAATATATGGATTTAAACATGGTAAAATCTGCTAAACAGAGCTTGGAGTACTTCACTCTTTGCAGCAGATGACAGCACAATCAAATTCTAGTGTTACTGTGAATGATTCATCAGTGCACATTATTAAAAAAACAAATCAGAACAGAAAAGAACATGGGATGTTGGTAACCAAACACATTTCTCAAAATATCTTCTTTGCCCCCCGTTTTCACAGACAAAGCTTAAGCTAGTCCCAGACTAAAATGGTTTAACTAAAAGCAACTTGCACTGACATATCTTAAAATATGTCAGTGGCATTGTTTTGTCTCAAGATGCACACCAGTAATGTTTTTTTTCTAAGGCATGTTTATAAAAGCTACTTAAATGTCCTAATTGAACTAAGGCCTAATCCTGGCTTAATCTAAACTCGGTCTGTGAAACCAGGCCTACGTATATGTCCGACAGAAGAAAGAAGAAAGTCAGTTTTGGAATGACAAGAGTCAGAGTGAGAAAGTTATATTTTTGGTTGAACTCTCTCTTTAACTATAAACTATAACACTGACCAATAGACAAAAAACTATTTTAGCATTGTTTTAGCAATCTGGTATCTAGTGTGGAGCACCCACTTTTCAAGATCCAGTCACTTCCAGATGGATAAAATCAAGTTCAGCCCAACATTTCTTTTTCACTCAGAAATGTGTCAAATTACAAAAGTAAAAAAGGTTGCAGGAATGAGAATTCACATTAATTTTAATGAACGAACATGTAAGGGCGGCAGGGGACAAATAGAACTAATGAATGACAGACGTTCCAATTCTGCCGAAATCTGCAGAGATTTATTATGAGTTCTGTGGACACAGATTCTGCGTGGGTCTTCTGGGAATTAACTGCATGTTTACAATAGCACAACTACAACAAGAATGAAGTCACCACAGCACAAACAAAAAGCACATATGTGGCAGCTACATCGGAACCACTTGTTTGGGTAATTCGGTACAAAGTGAACTGCATACGAATGACAAACACATTTGCACCGGAAGATGAATCATTCCTCAGAGAGCAGCTGACTTGTACAAGTTGGCCAAGTTTTCAAGGGTCAAACAGGGTGTATCTATAGGCTGGATGGCAGGATTTTCAGATTACCTGTTGTGCCATGTGCAGGGCATACTGTTGGCATGCGAGCTGGGCCTCGAGCCGGGCCCGTTCTAGAATGTACTGTCTCTTCCTCTGGAACTCCCAGCATTCTCCAGGAGCCGCCTTCAATGACAATCACTGCTCTTAAGACCATGACACTACGGCTTACCAACCACAGCACACATCACACTGGGAAAAACAGCCCTGGAGTCTAACTGCCTGTAACTATAGCATAGAAGCTACCAGGCTAACCAGAACTTTTGCACACCATGGCTACAGTTAATTACAGTTTTATCTTTAATAATAGTCAACAGCCTTTTCATCCAAATAATCAGATCACAACACAGGAAACTACGCACACAAACAACAACACAAAAACAACCACATTGATAGATCACTGCACACCGAAAGCACAACATATACTACCGTTCAAAAGTTTGGGGTCAGTACGATTTATTTTAAGAGAGAGATAAATTAATATTATTCAGCAAGGATGTATTAAATTGATAAAAAGTGAAAGTAAAGACATTTATACTGTTACAAAAAAAGTATTTCAAATAAATGTTCTTTTGAATGTTCTATTTATCAAAGAATTTTAAAAAAGTGTGTTTCTACAAAAATCTAAATCAGCACAACTGTTTTCAACACATTTCTTTGGCACCAAATCAGCAAATTAGAATGATTTCTGAAGGTGACACAAAAGACTGGACTAATTGTTGCTGAAAATTTAAGAATAAATGACAATAAATTCAATTAAATTAAAACAGAAAACAGCAATATTTCACAATATTACTGGTTTTTACTGTATTTGTGAACAAATAAATGCAGTCCTGGTGAGCATAATAGACATTTAAAAAATTCGTACCAACCCAAAACTTTATAAGTATAGTGATAGTACTTCAAACCACATAGCGCTTTGTAATCAGAGAGGCTACTGTGAGTGTAGAACTTCATCATTTTCTTTAGTTCAGTTTAGGTAAAGGATTTTTACAGCTGCTTTTGAATTAATGAAAAACTAGCAACTTTTGATATTATAAACCCTATGTAAAATGATGTCACATAACTGACGTCACAAACATTCTAAAAGGTGTATGAAAGACAATCCTCCAGGGAAACGGGTCAACCTTCAACAATAGCCCACTGATCTCAGAAAAACTCTAGAGAAACACTGCAGTCTACAGAGCGACTAAGAAGAGGAACTGAACAGGATGCTCAGAGGAACCGGTAAGGTCCTGTAAGTGAAACTTGTCTAACAATTATATAACTTAGACACATATGTACTGGCGTTTTACCTTAGGTGTCGCTTGGCTCTCATCACTCTCTTGGCCACTGCAGGAAGACGAAAACAAGAATGATGCGTTGGTAAACAATTAAACATGCAAAGCAGCATCTGAATGTACTACTACTACTATTTTGTATTTACTGTAAAATATTTAAGCTGTGATGCTAAAGTCACTTACTTGAGCGACTCGTCTACTGTAACCATTTCCACGGGGTAAAGCTTAATACCAGAGAGATCAGCCGAGTTCATGTTAACCCTTAACATAAACAAAAGAGTCAAGTCAATTTTATCTGTATAGCACTTTTCACAATACATATTATTTCTACTGAGACCACCATGCATGTTGTGGCAGTTCATGGTTTGACAGTTATAGTTTGTTACCAATGCTAAATAGCCAACTCAAAGAAATGCATCAGATATTAATATTGACTTTGCAATATTGATTAAATATAGAACTCATTTGAAAATCACAAAATGCTGACTTGTAACAGGAGGACAAAAATGAAAGAGATTGACCTACCTGTTAGGATCCTGTAGCATCTCCACTGCTTCCTTTAGCTGATTGATCATATTGACCTTTGACCTGTTGAACACCGTAACATGATATATATGGATATGTTTTAACTAGTGAGCAAATCAGTAAGAAAAGATAGAAGAGATACAGGCATAAAAACAAGAAGAATAAATATACAGATATAAACATACGTTTGTTCTGAAGCCCAGTTGGTGTCTTCCTCTATCCTCAGGGGCTCATCGAAGTCAGCACCTCGACCCTTCAAACACACACACAAACACACACACACACACACATCAACTCCAGCTGCAAACTCAGTCATGTGACTGCAAACTAAAGGCCTGATTTGCTTGAATTTAAATTCAACCAGATCCAGCACTGACTGTTTGAGAGGGTGATGCCAGACACAGATGGGAATACACACACCCCTTCATACGCACAATGTCCCTCTAGACGTGGATTACTTCACAAGGGAACTGCTAATGCACAAATAAACACTGTCAGTGCCAATCCTATGATGTAATGAGACGTTATCAGATAAACTAACAGTTACTGGAACATAGAACAGTATGCCAAGAGAGGCAGATGAAAAATATGACAAGAAAAGAATGGAATAAAGGGAAATAGGGCAGATAAAAACAGGAAAAAGATGTTTAATATACTCCAGCTAGGGCTCAAACTAGAACACTTTAACTATTAAAAGAAACAGCCAACATTAAATACAAAATAAAAGTAGTAAAAAAATAAAAACAGATCAAACCTGTTTTAAACCAGATCAGCCCACCATGTTTTGTAAATGGGGCAATTATGAATCTTTCAGGGGAGAAAAAAGAAGAAAAATAAAACCCTTAATGACCATTTAGTTTCTTTTGATTCTCAACCGCGGGCCTCAGTAAACTTCAAACAGGGCCTCAAGATGACTTAAAATGATTTAAAATAAGATAAAACTGCCAAAAAAAAAAAAATGTTTTTAATTCAACACATCAACAACTACTACTCTTTGAAGAACCATGATTCCCAGTCTAGGAAAACCTGTATATATGAGAATATATGAGCCTAATTTTGGTGATTTCTAGATTTGAAAAAGTAAAAATTATTTATATATTAATAAAACTGCACGGATATTTTTATATTTTGTATGAATACATACATTTCTAGTTATGCCAAATTCTTCTTATTAATACTTATCCAGGAAGTAACAAACAACTAGAAAAGTCATGGGGACTTTTAATATTGTTTTGGACAATGGGAGGCGCTTGGTGCCAGTGCTGGAGCCAATCAATGAATCAGTTATAGATATGAATACATTTCTGACAGAGCATAAAAAAGAACAATCTTGAACATGCTTACTTTGATATAGTTGACGAACGGAGAGCTGAGTGCAGAGTCTCGATAACCCAGATGTTCCTTAAGAGATTCCGACGGACTTCTGTCTGCTACAAGACACGTACACATGGCTAAATTATTATATTGACTAGGATAAAGAGTTCTTTTACAGACACTAAATTTACAGTAAATCTTAAAGGAATTATAGTGCAGAATTCACTGTCCACAACTTAAAATTACCTACCAATGTAAATGACTTCCTGTAACTAAATTTGTTGTTTTAAAAAAATAAGATAAATCTGACATTATGTCTTAATTGCTGTCAATAGAACTTAATTGGAACCCTGGAACATTCCTCTAACTCAAAACAAACAGAGACCTAAATAAGTTCAAATTCTGTAGTGCTCTTCTAGAATGAACAGCACACATGTACACATGCAGTGTGTACATGTCAAGTAAATCTTATTGAAAGCTTAAAGAGTAAATGACCCTCCAATTAGCTTAGCAGTCACACACACTTAAAGTACAGCACACACACACTCTTCCTGCAATGTTCTCGGTTTTCATCTCCCCTCCCTTAATTCTCCTTATGTGCTGACACTGACTTCCTAGCCAGTATCCACACTTCCTGACCGGGACCCTCCCCTGGGTTTAACCTGGGTCTCATGCACACACCCGCAGGCTGTCTAAAGTCTCACAGCAATGTTATGTCAGCCCAGTAAGAGGATGTTTTTCTTTACAGGCCTTTAATATCCTGTCCACACATGTGAGGGTGTGTTTGCGTGTGCGAGCAGCACCTGTCAGGGCGCTAATGTGTTCACTGGAGTCATCCTTGCTCAAGCCCTCCTCCTCTGTGATGTTGGTCATGGGCACATTCAAGCTGAGACTGTCTTCATCTGAAGGCTGGAACGAAAAAAACAACATCTAAATCAAGTGAACAAAGTGAATTCACATTAGCGCAAGACTTACTAGCACATATAACACTACACAGCATTCAATTCACTGTTACAAATCACTCATTTCAGCCTTAAGTTTTAATTGCCATTATTTTATTGCCAGCTATTTTTTGGACCAATGTGATTTCACTATGGACAGGGCTACCCAGCATGACACTACAGAAAAACCAACGGTCCTCTCCTGATGCTAGGACAGTGTTTTACAACCACAATTGACCAGACAGTGACACTGTATGCTACATGATAACTGTCAGATACCAGCTAGACCTTTGTCCCTAAATCATATGAGCTCAGATCTGCTAGAGTTTTCTACTGCAACCCAGCAATAAGCAAACTAACACATTAAGTTACCACATGCTTTTAATAGTGTTATTACCTAAAATTTGCAGCACTGATGAAAACACTATATAGCAGATAAATAAATAAATGGAATTAGACATGCAAACATGCAAAGAACATAGGCAAGATGGTCGCAATCTTCTCTTCCATTCAAACATGCACACACACACACACACACACACACACACACACACACACACACACACACACACACACACACACACACACTGACCTCTGTGGCAGAAAGGCGTTTGTCTCCATTATCACTGCCTACCCCAGAGTCACTGTCAAGTTTCTTGTGCTGATCAATGTCCTCAGTGCTGAGACAAAATGAAGAGCGGGATTAGAAGTTAGGGGTCGCGTAGGACAGAAAGAGAGAAGTAGCCTATGTCCCTCAATGAGACAGGGAAAGAAATCTTTCGGTCTCTCTCTCTCTCTCTCTCTCCCTCAGAAGAGTGACCCCCTGCAGTCTATTAAAAGGATTCTCCTGAGATAAGGATGATAATGACAGCCAACACACAGACACGCACGACCTGGATTTTTGAGATTCCACACTATATTCCACATTCAGATCTTTTTACACACCCACCTAGACGTGCATGCATTGGTAAAATGACAGATATTCTGACTATATAAAGATTTAATATCTCATTTGGCTGACTACGACTAAAAGAATAAAAGAACATTGGTTTTGACAATGTATTCGCATCTCGTTTCAGTTCACTCCTCAATCTAGTATTCTTTTTATAATAATATAATATAATATATAATATAATGCAGTTGTTGATAATTGTTTTAACTGAATTAAAGGGGTCATGACATAGATTTTTTTGTTCCTTGAACTTGAGGTTCACTTATAACATTAAGTTTTTAAAAAACACATATATATACGTACTGTATATATATATATATATATATATATATATATATATATATATATATATATATATACAGTGGGGAGAACAAGTATTTGATACACTGCCGATTTTGCCACTTACAAAGCATGTAGAAGTCTGTAATTTTTATCATAGGTACTCTTCAACTGTGAGTGATGGAATCTAAAACAAAAATCTAGAAAATCACATTGTATGATTTTTCAGTAATTAATTTGCATTTTATTGCATGACATAAGTATTTGATCACCTACCAACCAGTAAGAATTCTGGCTCTCACAGACCTGTTAGGCCACGTTCACACCGCAAGTCCTAATGCTCAATTCTGATTTTTTGCTCAGATCCGATTTTTTGATTGGCTGTTCACATTACCTTTTAAAATGTGACCTATATCTGATTGCAGTGTGAACTGTTTGAGGTTTCAAACTAACCGGCATGCGCAAAAGAACAATAACAATGACATCAGACGCAGCACGCGGTTGCACTAAAGTTCGGGAGGTTATGGAGGAAGTAAGCATATTCGCATTTATTTCATAATGTTTGTGTAATGGAAACTTTTGCGGGTTAATGGTTGCAAATTCACTACAGAGATCTGTGTGGATGCGTAGACGAAGCCAGGAGTGGTGGGAATATGACGTGAATAGTTTCACTGAGACGCTGTTCTCCTGTGTCCCCGTTCTTCCATTTCGTGTGCAATTTTTTCAAAAACGGAGCGGTTACGGTAGGTCCTTCTAGCTTGAATTGAAGTATCTCCCCATATACTTTGATCTAACACCTCACTCTCATTAACTCGCTTCATCGCTGTTCTCCATATCTAGTCAAGTTTTTAATGTTAGGCTACTGTCTGTGTCTGTTGTGTCTAGGGCTTCGCCGGCGCATAATTGTGACAAATGTCGACGTAGATTGACGTAAAAGTCGCATCAAATCCGCCTTGATTGTTCACACTGCGGCCGCATTGAAAAAAATCAGATCTGGGTCTGATTCAGGACCACATATGTATGTGGTCTAAATCTGATTTGAAAAAATCAGATCTGGGCTAGATTTGAGTGTTCACACTACCTCTGAAGAAGTCTGACCTGGTCACTTGACCCCAAAAAAATCAGATTTGGGCCACTTTTGCCTGCAGTGTGAACGGGGCCTAAGTTTCTCTTTAAGAAGCCCTCCTCTTCTCCACTCATTACCTGTATTAACTGCACCTGTTTGAACCCGTTACCTGTATAAAAGACACCTGTCCACAGACTCCAACCTCTCCACAATGGCCAAGACCAGAGAGCTGTGTAAGGATATCAGATAAAATTGTAGACCTGCACAAGGCTTGGATGGGCTACAGGACAATAGGCAAGCAGCTTGGTGAGAAGGCAACAACAGTTGGCGCAATCATTAGAAAATGGAAGAAGTTCAAGATGACGGTCAATCTCCCTCGGTCTGGGGCTCCATGCAAGATCTCGTCTCGTGGGGCATCAATGATCATGCAGCGCACACAAGGTCTCCCTGCTCAAGCCAGCGCATGTCCAGGCCCGTCTGAAGTTTGCCAATGACCATCTGGATGATCCAGAGGAGGAATGGGAGAAGGTCATGTGGTCTGTTAAGACAAAAATAGAGCTTTTTGGTCTAAACTCCACTCGCCGTGGAGTTTGCAGCACTGATGCGCCGTGGAGGAAGAAGAAGGATGAGTACAACCCCAAGAACACCATCCCAACCGTGAAGCATGGAGGTGGAGACATCATTCTTTGGGGATGCTTTTCTGCAAAGGGGACAGGACGACTGCACCGTATTGAGGGGAGGATGGATGGGGCCATGTATCGCGAGATCTTGGCCAACAGCCTCCTTCCCTCAGTAAGAGAATTGAAGATGGGTCGTGGCTGGGTCTTCCAGCATGACAACGACCCGAAACACACAGCCAGGGCAACTAAGGAGTGGCTCCGTAAGAAGCATCTCAAGCTCCTGGAGTGGCCTAGCCAGTCTCCAGACCTGAACCCAATAGAAAATCTTTGGAGGGAGCTGAAAGTCCGGATTGCCCAGCGACAGCCCCGAAACCTGAAGGATCTGGAGAAGGTCTGTATGGAGGAGTGGGCCAAAATCCCTGCTGCAGTGTGTGCAAACCTGGTCAAGAACTACAGGAAACGTATGAACTCTGTAATTGCAAACAAAGGTTTCTGTACCAAATATTAAGGTCTGCTTTTCTGATGTATCAAATACTTGTGTCATGCAATAAAATGCAAATGAATTACTTAAAAATCATACAATGCGATTTTCTGGATTTTTGTTTTAGATTCCGTCACTCACAGTTGAAGAGTACCTATGATAAAAATTACAGACTTCTACATGCTTTGTAAGTGGGAAAACCTGCTAAATCTGCAGTGTATCAAATACTTCTTCTCCCCACTGTATATGACAAAACATGGTGCTTCATTTTCCTTTTGTAATTTAACAATCACCACAACACAATTTAAATAAACTAAACCCTTTAAACAATTTAATTATATCACTCTACTTGCTAATCATAAGGACTGACCTCCCATTGGTCGGCCTTGTCAAGCTGAGGCGGTCCGTGACAGGAAGGTACAAGGCATCGTCTATCTTGTCACTACGACACGCCTCCATGGCGAGGTATTTAAATATATGAATCTTGCCCTTCATGCAGATCTAAAGGCAGCAAAAATAACGTCAGAAATAGTTATGAGAGCACGGAAGTATAAAATGTGTGTGTATGTGTGTTACCTGTGCAGGAGGGCTCTGAAGTGGATTGATCTCCAGTTGTAGTGATTGGAGTTGGGTCATTTTTCGATAGCAGACAGGAATAGTAGAAACCTTATTACAGGAGAAATCAAACTTGACCAGGGGTAAATCTGCCAAATCTAAAACACACACATACAGAAAATTACTAAACCACAAAAGTCAATACATTTTTCAACTAGGGGGCAGAGGGGGCTGCCAAAAGTTAAAGTGCCCCTATTATGCTTTTTCAGATATTACCTTTCATGTAGTGTGTAATATAGCTGTTTATGAATGTAAAAGGCCTGCAAAGTTACAAAGATCAAAGTGCATGATAAAAATGGAGTTATTGTCTCTTGATTCTGAACCGCTTGAAACGAGTTGTCAGTAATTCCTCGACCTCGAATTGATATGGTAAAACCGACGCCATCGTCACTGTTAAGGCTGATTTATACTTCTGCGTCGGACCTACGCCGGAGCCTCTACACTGTAGGCTACGCGTTGGTTTTCATTTATACTTCTGCGTCGTTGTCCGCGTTGTCGCACAATTACACATGCAGAGGGAGCGGTTCCAGCAGGCCAATCACAGTGCTTGCGGTGGGCGTAGAATTGACATGTTGTTACATTTTTGGAGAGGTGCACGTCAGGGTACGCCGAGGGGTATGCGCGCTACACACAGCCTACGACGTAGCTATGGCGTGAGTTCGACGCAGAAGTATAAATTGGGCTTTAGCATCACTGTGTATACAAGTGTTGAGGAAGCCTTTGGAGCTGAAATTAAAAAATGGTAATGGGTGTTTCGTTTCCAACACGTGTAATATAGTAGGGAGGTTAAGCCCAAAAAATAGGCCTTTGACTTCAAGTCATGATGCAAAGGTCTCCTTTGGTATGGAAGTACCTTAGGGTCATACAAATCAATTTATCCTAAGACACAAGTAAGATCACACTTTGTATCAGAAATAAACATGTTTTTTCAAAAATGGCCGCCAATGCGCCGAAAATAATCTAGAGCCCACATCTTTGCTTCTGTTATCGCTATAATGACAAATTTGGTGTCAAAGTGTACATTTTTGGGGTCAAGGAATCCAATAAAATTGGTTTCAAGTTTAGAAAAATAATAATTTTCCCCATACCATGACAATTGGGGGTAAATATGCACATTTCACATAAAAATTGTCATCAGAGTGACTTTACTTATCTTTTCGTTCAAAAACTTTAATTTTGTATTTAAGCAGTGCAGCTACTTCTGTACATTACATTTGTCCTAAGTAGCATGAGATTTCGACCAGTCAGGAGTAGCCTATAGCATATCAGTTCCGGCAACAACACATCCCATCTGCACCAGGAGCTGTGACAGCTGTTGAAGGTCAGAGGTGACAGGTTAACACTTTGTGGTTCGTATGACTTTCTCATTAAATAGAAAAATGTTTTTAATGTTAGATAACTAATAACTAGCTAGCTAGTTGACTATGGAAAAAAAACCTTTGAGGGAAAACCTCTTTTCTCGAGAATACTGAAGCCAAAAATTATCCTTATAATTTTTATTAATTTAAAACACACTTGCTGCAGCTAGCAGACCTAGGCGAGGCAGCTCGCGCGCCTATTGGATGCTATGCGGCAACTGCTGCAACCTATCGAGGCACTGCTCGTGATGTAAGCACCAATGAGTGGGCGTGTGGGCGAATGGGCGTGGCTTATGCCTATATAAGCCAGAGCTCGATAAGATGCTCCTTGGTTTTCATCGACTGAAGCGAAACCAGATGGTAGCACAAGCACGGCAGGGTTACGCAACACTCATTCCCCCTTCTAGAGAGAACCGAGGTTACGTTAGTAACCGTGACGTTCTCTTACGAGAGTACTCTCATGTTGCGTAAGCTAGCTTACGCTACGGGAATCCAATTTAAACGCTGTGCGTGCTAAATCTACCACAACACTGACCCAAGGGCGAGCGCCCTGAGTTCATATGATATGGGGATATAAAAATGGGCAGCTAGACCTTTAGATCGGCCACCAAACGAAACAAATAGCTGTCCTGACCGTCTGAAAGCAGCCGAACGTTCCACGTAAATTCTAAGGGCCCTAACCAGGCAAAGGAGATTCACGTCACACTCGCTGTCAGATCCGAAGAGAGAATGTCAGATTGAAGAGGCGGTGGTACCAGTACCAGTCGGTCGCCTTCCAAGGTTTCAGAGCTCCGACGCATTTCTGAGTGACCCTGAGGCGAAACAGATCGGAGGCCCAAGCTCGAGACGGCACTCGTGCTTTCAGCCACCACTGCAGTGGGCGCATGCGAAGCAGACCCAGCTGGAGTACTGATGATGATGAGGCCATGAGGCCCAGCATTTTCTGAAATCTCTTGAGCGGGACTATAGTGCCGCAATGTTCAGTATGCGCTCTGGCAATAGTCGCGCTGTCATTGACAGCGAGTTCAGCTCTGTGCCCAGAAAGGATATTTCCTGGCTGGGGGACAGCGAGCTCTTCGCCCAATTGACTGTGAGACCAAGATTCTCGAGGTGTTCGAGTAATATGGTCCTGTGTTCTATGAGCTCTGAATGAGATCGAGCTAGAATCAGCCAATCGTCCAAATAGTTCAAAGCTCGCATGCCCTGAAGTTTCAGGGGCGCGAGAGCAGCGTCCATGCACATCATAATATACAGGATGCCAGGGACAGGCCGAACGGTAGGACCGTGTATTGATATGCCTGGCCCTCGAAGGCGAATCTCAAAAATCGCCTGTGACGAGAGAATGTCAGACTCGCTGTCAGATCCACAGAGACTTGTGCTCTGAAAAGAGTGGCAAGTACTTTGGGGACATAATCATGTCTTGGTTTGAGGATGACCTTGGAGTCATTAGGCCCAAACTCAAGGCACGACGCACTAACAGAAAGTGCGTGTAAGTCACCCACCAGCTTGACTGAGGCGATAGCCACCAGAAAGGCGGTTTTCAATGAGAGATACTTAAGGTCCACAGACTGTAGAGGTTCGAAAGGGGCACCCTTCATGGCCTCCAGGACCAAGGAAAGGTCCGAGGGGGGGCGAGGAGGGTTCATCCTTCTAGCTCCCCTGAGGAAGCGGACTACAAGGTCGTTCCTACCCAGTGACTGGCCATGCGAATGTTTGACAAACGCAGCAATAGCCGCCACATATACCTTGAGCATGGATGGGGATCTACCCTTATCCAAGAGCTCCTGTAGGAAGGAGAGAACCTCCGACACCCCACAATCTTGTGGATCCAGGTTGCGAGCTGAGCACCAACCTGAGAACACTGACCACTTGGAAGCACAAAGCCGTCTAGTAGAGGGCGCTCTAGCTTGCGTAATCGTGTTTAACACTCCGTCGGGGAGACTGACGGGTACCCGTTGCTGGCCCACACATCCAGAGCCCAAAGCTCGGGTCGTGGGTGCCAAATCGTACCCCCGGCCTGTGAGAGGAGATCTCTCCTCAACGGGACAGGCCACGGAAGCAAGCTCTGAAGCTGCATCAGCTCCGGAAACCAAACTTGGTTCGGCCAGAACGGAGCTACTAGAAGTACACAGGAACCGTTCTCCCTTATACGCTTGATTACCTGTGGTAACAGCATGATCGGAGGGAAAGCATAGAGAGGGCGGCTGGGCCAGTGATGGGCCAGCGCCTCCTCGTTCTTTGTGAAGCATATTGGACACTGAGCGTTGTCTTGAGACGCAAAGAGGTCAACTTCTGCTGTGCCAAATGTGTCCCACAACAGCTGAATAGTCTGAGGGTGGAGGGACCATTCCCCTGGGGGAACGTTGTCCCTGGACAGCCTGTCTGGACCCACATTAAGATGGCCTGGCACATGCGCCGCTCTCAGCGAGAGTAGGTTGCGCTGAACCCATACAAGGATGCGTTTGGCCAGTGCATGAAGGTTCCGTGATCTCAGACTGCCCTGGCGATTTATGTAGGAAACCACCGACATGTTGTCCGTGCGGACAAGGACATGGTGGCCCTTTAGAAGGGGAAGGAAGAACCGCAAGGCGTTCTCGACCGCCTTCATCTCTAGACAGTTTATGTGCAAGCTCTTTTCTTGGCTTGACCACAGGCCAAAAGTCAGTCTTGCCCCGAATTGGAGGCGTCTGTCGAAACCACTATCAGTTTAGAGATTACTCCCAGGTTTACACCTGTCTGATACCAGTCGACCGCCTTCCAGGGCTCCATAGCTGTGACACAGTTCTGAGTTACCTTGAGACGTAAACGACCGGATGCCCATGCTCAACGCAGGACCCACGTCTTCAGCCAGTGCTGTAAAGGGCGCATGCGAAGCAGACCTAAACGAAGAAATTATTAAGTTGTGAATGGACTGTGTGTTTGGCATGCGTTTTTTAATAAAAAATTGCATACTTCACCTCCAATTGTCATGTTAAGGACAACATTATTGTTTTTTAGTCTTGGAACCTATTTTATTGGACTCCTTGACCACAAAAATGTACCCGTTGATACCAAATTTGTCATTATAGCTATAACAGAAGCAAAGATATGGGCCTCTCAAGTATGGTCGGCGGCTATTTTTAAAAAATACAAGATATATATAAGATATATATAAGAGATTTTGTATATAAGATACAAAATCTGATCTCACTTGTGTCTTAGGATAAATTTATTTCTATGGCCCTAAGGTACTTCCATACCAAAGGGGACCTTTGCATCATGACTTGAAGTCAAAAGTCATTTAACCTCCCTACTAATAAGTGGTAGACCAATCACAACAGAGTAGGCGATCAGATAGGAAGGGTTTAAAGAGACAGATCCTTTATTGAACCGTTTCAGAAACTGTAAGGAAAGAGGTGAATTAAAGTGTTTTTTTACCTGGGATGCATGTAAACATATTGTAGGAGACAAGGGCGCCTTAAGATAACCAGAGGGCCCTGGGCTACAGAATTACAGTAGGCCCCCTACCCCAGATAAAAATATTATTTTAGCTTCACGTCGAAATTTATCTTGTCGATAAAATGTTTAACATTTACAGCACTGTGTGTATGCTGTGTAAAAATAAGGTTCAAATATAGGTGAATATGCAAATTCACTTTTTGTCAGTGGGTGGTGTTTATGCAACAGCAGAATTATAGCAGGTACATAAACAAAGCAGAGTTACAACACTAGCAACACTACGTTATTACAGGCATTAGAGG